GCAATAACTACTAAAACATCATCAATTTACTGATATGAACCTGTATCATCTGTATGCACCTTTGAGGAATTCAAACCAAGATGTTGGCTGTTAATTGGAGGAATTGGTAGTTGACCCATAACCTTTTCATCATCAATTGAAGTTCTGTTCATCGAATTGAATGTTTGGAGTGGTAAGGATTCATCAAATTCTCTTGTCCCAAATTTTCCACAAAGAACCCTAACTGCACCCATGAAATCGTTGTGGTCGGGTTGAAATTGGACATGATGATATGGGAAGATGCACCAAGGGGAGAGGAGTCCAACACATGTGGTCCACGACCATTACCATCACCGGAGGAGGATATTCCGGCAGAAGCAGAATGCAGATGATTCAAATTTTGGGCCGTAATTTCTGCTGAATCTGATGCTGTTTGGACAGATTGTTGGTTCATGGTTGTAGAGGGCAGTATGTAGAGGTCGGTGGTGGTAGTATTCAATGGACGTAGTGGCAGGAAAGTTGAAGAGTGGAGCTCCATGATATGCGTGAGAGATAATGATGTTAGGTTAGGAAATTGGGTTGTGTTTTGTACTGTGTGATTTGCTTATCGTGATTTTTACCTTTTGCATTTTTGTCTTTTTTTTTTCTTTTAACTGTTCGGGTTGGGTTGGGTTGGGTCGGGTTAGGCGAGTTTTAGTGGTTCAACCCACAACTCGACCCAACCTGACCCGGTAGCGTAAATTTATACCCGAAACCCGCCTAAAAACACAAAAAAATCGACCAATCCCTAATTTTTTGTGTCGGTCGGTTTTCGTGGGTTGGTTTGGGTTTTGCCCACCCCTAAATTGCGGGCATAAGACTGAAGGAGGTTGACTTACACTAGAAATTGTAGAATACTTTTGTGAAGCATATGGAAAAGGTTCTTAACAAACACCACATGACGAGATATGAAAACCCTTCCATCAGGTGCTAAGTAATTATACCCTTTGTGGTTAAGACTATAACTAATGAATGTACAAGGGGTTGACAAGTTTAACTTGTGTTTGTTACAGGGTCGAAGGCAGGCAAGCACACGCAAAAATGAATAATCAAGTTTGGTATGCAATATCATTTCCAAAGGAGACTGACCACTTAAGACTATAATAGGTAATCTGTTGATAAGGTATACGGTACTTGAGAAAGCATCATCCCAAACTTTTAGGGTAACGAGGCTTGGGCTAAAAGAGTAAGACCACACTCAACAATGTGTCTATGTTTACGTTCAAGGACTCTATTTTGTTCTGATATATGAGGACAAGAATATCTGTGGGTTATCTTAGTTGAACTTACGTATAGTGTAAGGGACCAAAATTCACCTCCCCAATCTGTTTGTAGAATTTTGATCTTCAAATTGAGCCTTGAATCGAAGAAAAATAGGGGTATGCTTCAGACTTGCTTGTAAGGAAAAATATCCAAGTCAATCCAGATTAAGCGTCCACAAAGCTCACATAATAGCGATAATCATTGGTGGGGGGTGTGCGGGCTGGACCCCATAGATCAGAATATACTAAATGTAATGTCTCATGATAAACAACTTCAGAATGAGAGAATGGTAACTTTTTGCTTTTCCTCAATTGGCAAGCAGAGCAAAATGATAAATCTTCGTTTATTTGATATTACAAGAGGATAGAACTGTCCTGACAATTGGAGCAGTGGGATGACTGAGCTCCATATGCCAGAGGTCTATAATTTGATTAACTCTAACATTAGACTTAATTGGACTTGAAGACACTAGACTCAAACTACCACCTATTTACTGTAAAGAAAAGGCAGTAGGATGACTCGACTAACGTTGAATAGAAGAACTTGAGGATGCAAATTGAGATGATGCAAGAGATTCCTTAAACAAATTAAACCGACACAACCCATTATGTAGTCTCCCTTGGAGTAGCTCCATTCCAGTGGCCTAATCCTTCACAAAACACAAATTTGGGTGTGATTCAAAATAAACATGATTGTCACGAGTAACTTGGCTAACACTAAGCAAGTTCTTTGTAATTTGCAATAAGTTGGACATATCATAAACACGGGATGAATTAGGAAAATTAAAAAAGGATGAGCCAACATGAAATATTGAGAGACCTTTACCACTACCCAAGTTATTTTTTGTTGCTCCACAGATATTCATTGCCAATATACAGGTTGTTCAGATCATTGGTCATGTGATTTGTTGCTCCCGAGTCTAGAAACCACCATTCTCAGCAAATATCTCATGGGTTACTATCATTGATGTCATTTGAGTGGACCCTTCTCTACCTTGATTACTCGAAGGAGAAGTATTCCCAGCACTACTGAAACTAGAGAATAAAGGGTCAAAATGGTAGTAGTGTTTCCCTCGCCATGTGACCAAATCTACCACAAAGTTGGCACTGAAGACTGTTGTTGCCATTACATGTTTCGCTTCCACCGCGGCTACAAAGTTTAGATTTCTCCCGTGAGGGAGTTTTTGGCCGTTGTCCCCATTTTTCTTTGATTGGTCTTGAAGTTTCAGATTCACAGTAGGTTATGACCCATCTTCATTTGCGGAATACTATTCAATCCGATTTTCATGTACAAGAAGCAGTTTAGTTACATCATATTTCTCTGATACCATATAATGGAAACAAAAAAGAAGCCTGAAAGAAATATTGTATTCTATCCATCTGAAATTTTACAGTACAGGGTAACATAATATAATAAAGAAAAATATCATCACTGTGATTGTGACACGTTCCCTAACTGCCAACATAGTGCATTGTGATTGTAACAGCTGTACACATTTACAGATAACAATCTACAACAGATTTGCAAGTTTCAGTAGGTTTTGTTGTATGCTAATATGACATATATTTTGTTTAATTCAATGATGTCAAGTACCTTTTGAATCAGTGCTTATTTCAACATTTTTACATGTGTGTGTTTTATTGTGACATGTAGCTATTGTTTTTGTCTTTCAAGGGGTAGTAGATAGATTCCTATTTGTTGTTTACTCCTATTGAAAATCTAGAATTGTTTATGCTCAAGTATTTGGCATTATTTCATTGATTTCTTTATTAGAGAGTTGATTGACTATTATCTTTTGCACGAGCTTTATTTTCTGTTGACGGCATCAAACATATCTAGTCGCCTATTGTTAATATATTTTAAATGGGGTAATTAGCACGTAATGTCTCCATCTTTTATTGTTAATGTGCAAAACGTCTCTACTTTTCATTTTTTGATATTTTCACCCTTTTTTTTTTTATCTTTCATTGTCCAAAAGATCACTTTCACCTATTTTCTCAATTAAAATTTATGAAATAACGAATATACCCTTCTCTTTAAATAAAACAAAAAGAAAAAAAATTAATTGCAATCACAGTCCTTTTTTTTTTTTAAAAAAAGCTTAAATAAGTCACAAATAAATTATTAAAATGGTAATTAGCACATAATATCCATACATTTCACTATTATTTCAAAAAGTTCCTACTTTTTATTTTTTTGGCATTTTCTCCTTTAATTATAATTTGATAGCGTAAATCATCATTTCTATCCATTTTCATTCANAAAGAAGGGTATATTCGTCATTTCATAATTTTTAATTGAGAAAATAGGTGAAAATGACATTTTGCGCAATGAAATATAAAAGTAAGGGTAAAAATGCCAAAAATGAAAAGTAAGGATATTTTGCACCATAACAATAAAAGATGGGGATGCTACGTGCTAATTACTAATTTGATTTAGTTGATACATTCCACTATGTTGTCCTGTTTGTATGTATGTGTGTGTGTATATATATATATCCATTTTTTTTTTCATTTTTTTGCATTTGATTTCTCACTGCGGCACAAATTGAACTGTATCATTGTTCTTAAGGCCCTGTTCGGGAGGGCTTAAAATTCAATTAAAATTGAAAATATGGTCGTTATTGGGTCCCACCCGTCTAATAAAAGTCAACAATAACGACTATATTTTCAATTTTAATCTGATTTTAATTCCTCCCAAACAAGCTCTAACTTTATAGCAGGCTAATTCCATGTCGGCATTCTCATCCAGCTGCATTTAGGCTTCATATGGAACTCCTTAAAAGACGTGCCTTCATTCTTAAACAACATGCACCTTTGCCAGATTTCAGAAGCGAGTATCTAATTTTTGCCAAACCCCTTTTTATTGTCTTCTGTCAACATACGTTCTCTATGTACTATTTTAAACATTACCCATCAATTTCCTAGCAAAGACGATTGTTTATTATTCTTAAGGAGTGATAGAGAGATGCCACTTTTGTTGGTGATGCTCTATCAATCTTATACTTGGTTTTATTTGAACTGTATTATTCGCCGCCGAGTTGCTTAATTTTTTACTTTCAATTTCTAATGCTTGAAGTGATTTAAGAAAACACCATTTGGACTTTTTTTTAGCGAATTACCTTCTTCATTCTAGTTTAATTTGGGTTGTTGTTTCTGAGAAAACAAAAAGAATATTTGTTAAGAGGCATATGAAATTGTGGTCGATGTTTCCAGTGGTTACTTTAAAACCTCTTGGTTGGTTCATGTGCCCTTGTGATGTAGTACTTGAATCATTCTCCCAGTAATCAGAGAGGTAATTATTGACAAATTACATGATTACATCCTTTGTTTTTACCAGTAATGAGGCATATAGTCATAGAGAATGACATCAACTAAGAGCACTGTTGGAATTCTGATTTATGATGGACTTTGGGCTGTAAAAATATGATACACTGTCTATAATGCGGGCTAACAAATTACAGATGTCTGACTCGAATCTGAAATTTCTTTGTTCCTAACTTTATCTCATCTTAATTTCTCTAAGATCATATCGATGATATGTTCCAACAACAGACCACATAAAGGCTTTCACTTTGTGTATCTACAAGAAGCATTATAATGTAGACGTTTTTCTTAGGATAAATTTGTTTTTGTCTTTTACTGTGTCATTTGGTTTTCCTGCTTGAATTAAATGTTGAGTGATATATGTTTTCTAACCTCTGGTCTCAATGCAAGTTCATGAATTTGTTGGATACTATACTCAATTTCTGTCAGATATGTACTCTGCTAACAAATGAGCCCAGCGTTCATTTGGTCCAGTTCGTGTTTTCAATTGTTTGGAAGTTAGTTGATGCATCATTAGATGATGAAGGACTGCTGCAGCTTACTCCAGAGAAGCAATCTCAGTGGTCAACTGAACCTCAAGACATGGATATAGATGCCATGATGGTTATAGAGAGAAGAAGAATGAACATTGAGAGAGATTGAAGACTTATAATACTGTTATGGCCATAGAGTTGATTGGGCAGTTTCTGCAAAATAAAGTAACTTCCAGAATTCTTTACTTGGCACGCCAAAACATGTCAGAACTCTGTCCTTAGAAGTTTATTTTAGAAGCTATATGCCTTTTTTAATCTTTACTGTTTTATGTGGTCAAGTGGAATTGACTTATAATGATTTATTTTTTACATCTCACATCAAACACATAATATTAAAGTTTACACGATGGCAAACCCATTTGTAGTTTGATGACTCATACAAATAAATAATGTAAAACTAATGTGAACTATATAACTGGGTTTATAGAAGAAACCTATGAATCTGACGACTCTAACAGGCTTACCTCATGGTTTATACGTTATTATCTATTGATTTCTTGACTCCTATGTATCGTTCTGAGATTATTCCAAGACATTGCATAATTACTTGTTTGTCCCTCCACTAGTTCTACACAATGGGGAAGTTTTATCCAGCGAATTCAACCGCTTGTAACAAATTCATCAGCCTTGAGAAATTCAAAAGTCACGACACCAGAGGATCTTTTATATTTGATTTCCGATAAGCACAAATTTACATCTCATTATTGTCAAAAAAATTCATTGCAAGAGTTTCCTGGAATACTATAATCCACACATCTGGATGATTCTTCTGGTCTCTGTCTTGAAGTTAGTCATTCTGCTCTTTGGCTTCCTCTTGATTTGCTCCTAGAAGATGCAATGGATGGTTATCAAGTTAATGCAACTAGTGCAATTGAAATCGTTGCTGGTGAAGTGATTTTCTGCATAAACCTCAATAAAAAGTCGATATATGTCCTTGTTTTAGCGCTTTACGTAATGTAAGTTGGGATTTTACTTTTGCAGATTTAGTTAAGACTCTTCAAGCAATTAACTCCACTTCTTGGTATGAAATCTTTTCAGGACTTTGGATGGCTGCTCTACGTCTTGTTCAAATGAAGAACTTAGCTTTACATTTTGGGTACTTGTTTAATTTATTTTAAGACTTTTGCTTTTGATTTTTAAACGATTAGAAATCATAATTGATGAACGTAGTGTCATGTGAAGGAACTGTAGTACATGGACTGAACTTTAGGAAAAAAATGATTTTGATTAATGTAGTACGTGCTTGTGTTAAAGGTTTATGCTTCTATTGTTTCATATAGTTCTACGTCAAAGACAAACCAAACTTCTTCATAGCCACTCTAGATAAATTGCTGCATGCAAATAAGGGAATGCCTTCAAATTTCGGTAGAACAACATGCTTGTCTTTATGTGAAAGCATAACTTATAATCTTTTTCTTTTTCCTTTTTCCCCCCTTGCTGTCACTGTATTTATTGGTAGCAGATATCTACATTTGACTGCAGGAAAGGCATGTTGTGGTCTATCATTACTCAAATGTGCATGTTGTTGTCTATCATTATTCTCGTAATTTCTGATCTTGTTTGAGGAAGAGGAAAGTTTAACAACTGATGAGATTGAAGATGGTATGGGCTGCAAAAATCAGGTTTCCAGGATGCGACGTATGGATTTATTTTTAACTGTACAGAATTTAAGTGAATATCGAAGCTTACTAACTCCTCCAAAATCAGTCATTGACACAGCCATTTTAAGAATTGAGGTTCCATTTTAAAATGTCAACCTTATTAAGAGGATTAATCTAATCCTTTATAAGTTGTTTTATGTTTACATTTTTATTCGATGTGAGATTCTATCTCTTAACATGCCCCGCAAGATGGTGGCTCGTTTGAGCACACCAATCTTGAAATTCGTATGCTCACTTTTTGAGTCTTAACCAGATCGAATTACTCGTGAGAGCTTAATGGGCTCTGATACCATGTTAAGATTTGGGGTTCTATCTTAACAGGTCAACCTTATTAAGAGGAGTAATCCAATCCTTTATAAGTTGGTCTATGTTTTCATCTTTATTCGATGTGAAATTTTATCCCTTAACATGTCCCCGCAAGATAGTGGCTCATTTGAGCAGATCAATCTTGAAATCTGTGTGCTCAATATTTTTTGACTCTTAGTCGGATCGAATTGCTCGTTGGAGCTTAATGGGCTTTGATACCATGTTAAGAATTGAGGTTCCATCTTAAAATGTCAATCTTATTAAAAGGAGTAACCCAATCCTTTATAGGTTGATTTATATTTACATCTTTGTTCGGTGTGAGATTCTATTTCTTAACAAGCCAATCAGGCTGCTGCAAAAGCACTGATGTTCAAATCAGGCATCAATGTTGGCAGTGCATACTTCAAGTGCAACAGCATGCCAGATATGCCAATGAATTGCTGTAGTATTTCTAACTTACTGAATATTAAATGCATCAATTAGGTCTTCAATTTAGGAGGATCCAAGAGGAATGCTATCAATTTCTTATCTTGATGTTTGGAATTGATTTCATTAGTGTCTCTGTCCTGAACAAGTGTCCATGAAAATTACTTCTTTTCACGGTGGATTTGTAAATTTGAATTTTTGTGGTTACTTGTCAATCTTTCCAGTTCTATTAGTCCCCTGTTTTCTTTGCAGCTGGGAACCTGCATCATTTAATAGTTGAGGCATGCATTGCCAGAAATCTACTGGACATGTCGGTTTATTTCTGGCCAGGTTATGTAAGCAGACGCATCAATCAACTACCTCAAAAGTGTTCCAAGTCAAATGTCTGATTAGTCATTGTTTATGAAGGGCTAATCTCTTACTTCATTGATGGTTAACACTCTAGTATCAACTCCTGCTACAAGGTAATCACAGGGTACCTTTGCCAATAAATATATAGCTAGTAAAGTTTCATACCTACTCTCAATTTGTCCAAGTATGTTGAGGCACTAATGCATACCTACTAGGTGGTTACAATTATACTTAAAATTCAACCGATTCAAGAGTATGTTATTGGGCGAGTATAGGTGAGGACTTTCAACCCAAAATATAGGTGATAGGACATCTCATTTAGTCTATCAAACGCAAATGTTAAGAATGGTTGAACAAACTACATCAGGTACTCAAATCTTCATTGAGAAGCATTTTTGAGACACTTTAAAACAAAAATATAGTATTAACTGTAATATGAGAGGCTTCTTGCTCTAGTGTTTCAGTGGCCCAAGAGGTGCATTAGGCTACTGTTAGTACCATAATGTTCCATCGTATTTCTTCAGTTGAAACTTTTTCTTTCCTTAAGCAAGATAGTCACATGCTCTTTTTTATTGACTTTGCAATAATAAAGCAACTGATTTAAGCTCATGGATTTGATGGAAGCTTAGCAGAGTTATAGAAAATATTTGGGACTGTGCCATTTGCACACTGAATTTATACACTTTGGTTGACACTTGCATTGTTGTCAACAGTGCATTGGATGAAAAAACTGTTTAAAATTTAAACTGTCCAATTGGGTAATGCAACGTGGCAAAGCCTAAATGTAGCAAGGATCAAATATTTGAGGTTGCAGTCAATGGATCTATTGATGAAAGGATAGCTGGTGCTACTATTCTTTGTGTGGCCTCTTTGATTTGCGGATGGAATGTACAGGTAGTTTATCAAGTCATCACCATTCCTTGAGACTTATTTTCATCAAATTTACACTTGTTAATTGATCACTGAGAGCTTTTGCCTTTCCTAATAATAGAGAGTACCCACCTGTTGTTATTTATTTATTTCCCTTTTTGAGTTACTTTTCGGTGGCAAAACTACCGAGTTTTTCTAATTGTGCTTAGCTAATGATCCTGCAGGAACACACTGTTTATTTCATAACTAGATTATTGTCTCCACCAGTTCCTGTTGACTATTCTGGTTGTGACAGCTTTTTGGTAGGTTGTGCTTCGATACTGAATTTCCTTGGTTGGGATATCACCTGTTGACTGCGTCCAGAATTTCTTTTTACATGGTTTGGTACCAAAACTTTTACACACCTACTCTTGCAAAAAATAGAAGGCAATTTCATGGTTTAGCCAAATTCTAGGATAACTGTTTGTACATTTTTGTAACATTAGCTGTATAGTATTGAAATTGTTTAGAACATACAACATACACATGCCGATTAGCCCTTTGCTTTTGGTGATCTTATAATCCACATCTTTGTCCACACCTACAGTGTGAAGTTTAGTGCATGGGCAGTTCATGGCTCTACAGATGCTGGAAAGTGGAAACATATATTTCAAGTTTTTCAGAAAAGGGCCTAAGATGTTGTACAAGTTATTGTTAGTTTTTTCCCAACGTCCATTTGTTTGATATGTAAAGTAGAAGAGCAGTTTACCCACTTGTTAATTTGTAAATTATGAAGTGCAAGTGATACTTTTGGATTTTGCAAACAGTATATGGTTAACATATGAATTTCCTGGGGATATAATGTGAGGTAGTATGGATGTTTAGGAACTCTGAACTTAGTGGAAGCGGAAAACTAATATTGTTTACATTTGCCAGGTTCTGCAACTTGCTGGTTCATTAATGACAATCTGTGATTGGTTCACGTGCTCCGAATATCTCATGGACCTTGACAACAGGAGAGGAGATATCTGCCCATGCCGTGTTTTGAATTTGCTCTTCTTCTAAAGCTGTGGAGGTTTAATCATTTGCCTCTTGAATACGGGTCGGATATGTAGCTCCAGTAGGATCCCAACTCATTCCTGAATACCTCCTACTAGTGCAGAATTCGCACCTAATGTCTTCAGGAAACATGCTCCAGGATCCGAATAGAAGGTGACTTGCAAAAGTTGCATGTTCATCGTCTCCTAAACCCATATTTGTGGACTCATTTCTGAAACTTAAAGTATGATATAGACAACACCAAGCACTTATAGCTTCACCCCTCTCTGGTCTTGTCAATGGAACTCCTGTTTATCAAACTGTTGATACACTACTCAACAAGATATTTACGTAAATTAACAGAGGAAGTCAGTCCGTGACATCTTGAAGTAGTAGTTCCTCTGGACCTGGAAGAGAAGATAATTGTCTGCGGCCTAAGTTACCTGCTTGGGATATCCTTGAAGCTGTTCCCTTTGTCTGATGCTGCTTTAACGGCATGTTCCCATGGAAGATTATCTCCTTGTGAGCTCTGCACAGGTTACTCTGATGTGCATTTGGACTTCCTCCTCATGCACCAAAAGAACTTGAAAACTTTAGATTCAATTTGAGCCAATAAAATATAGCGTATATGCTTCAAGTTCAACAATTTGAACATCAGAAATATCGTTAAGCTTTTGAATTCTTAATATCTATAACTAAAATGAGTTTAATATTTGCCAGATCACTGTTTTTTCCCTATCATCTTGGTACTTCCCCCTTCTGCCAAACAAACAATAATGGGAATGCAATTGGGAAGAGAAAGGAAAAGGAAAGACAGTTTTTCTGGGGCAATGAGAGCATATTATTTAAGTATCCTGAAGCTTGGAATTAAAACCGTGGTGGGCCATCCTTCTGCAACTTATGCATCTCTCTTTTATTACAGGGCTTAATGATTTGGTTGATTATCTTCCTGCCACTTTGGCAACCAGTGTAAGTTATTTCTCAGCTGAAGTAAATAGTGGTGTTTGAAAAAAAAGAAGTTTTTATGAATGAAACTGATTGGCCCATTCCTGCTGCAAATCTCTCCAATGTCGAGGAACAGAAAGAAAATACTTACAGCTATTGGGGTTGATGTCCCCAGTCTAGCTGCAGGTATGCTTTTCTGTAAAGAAAAGCATTTGTAAGCCTCACCATAACCTACAAACTCGATAAAGCCTCACAACATTTTCTCAATCTAGAGGGCCCAGCATTGGAGTCCCTTGCAGCCGGTTGCCCATGGCCGTTCATGCCAATAGTGGCTTCTATGTGGGCCCAAAAGGCGAAAAGTTAAGAGTGATTTCCTTGTTTTTTTCTGCCTCTCGTACTGTCTTCCTCCATAGTAATGATGCTGTTGTTCTGCTTCTTAAGAGCTGCTTTAGTGCTACTCTTGGTTTAAACAGTATCTGTATCTCAAGCAACGGTGGTGTTGGAGCGCTTCTTGGCCATGGATTTGGATCACATTTTAGTGGGATCTCTCCATTTGCACCCGCATCCAAGACATTATGTTCTTAAGGGAAGAGATAGTTTCTTTACTGATGCAACTAGTGAAAGACATAACATTTATGAGAGTTCCTAGAGCGAGGTTCAAAAAGCTAAAAAGAAAGTCGAAAGCAGAATGAAACATGGTAATATCTCTTTGCTGCAGCAATAACAAAAGTGAACTAGCAGCTTCCCTGGGGGCTTCTTTCGTGTTCTTATCTGATGGACTGGGACTGGTTCAGTCGATAATAAAGGAAACTTTTCCTTCTTGGTTTATGTCCATTCACTGGTCCAAGCAAGAAGGGGACTCAGGTGCAATGCTTCCATAATCTGATGGACTGGGGGTATGCATTGGCATACTTGGTGGCTCTTTGTGGAGCTTTCATTTGGGGGGTCGACTCGCCATAATCTGCTTCAAAGCGTCGTCTGAAAGTTCTTGGATGCCACTTGGAATTTGTGGCTAGTGCTGTGGATGGCAAGATATCTCTTGGTTGTGATCTGATCACCTGGCATGCTCACGTGTTGAGTTTGATTGATGGTCATGTGCATGCCAAGTTGTGTAATTGAGGTGGATGTAGAGTTATTGAAGTGACTAAGGGGCTGAGGCAGTTGAACAAGGAAGAGCTTGCTCTTGGCTTGGCGTTTGCGGGGTTGATACCATGGGCGCTGCTGTTCAACTTATCATAGAAACTGATTTGCACCCATTTTCTTCGTTTTGATAATTTTGTAGATACATATACAGCTCTTGCTTTACTAGCGTTTGCATAGGAAAACTTGTGGACAAATGGAAATTTCGAAGTCTACCAAACTGTTGAATTCTTTAGCATTCCCTATCTAGTACAAAAGTTCTATTGCCATGTAACATAAAATATTCACCAGTAGTCCAAGTCCAAATCATGTAATTTGGTTTTATACATTGAGACATTGCCTTGTCCCATTCAAAACAACATTCCCAGAACCACATTCTCTTATGGATTACTAATAAAAACAGTGTCACACCAATGAATCGAAGGCCAGCTGAACATCGAGCTTGGCCTAGATTTTTTAATTTAATATGAACATAGATATTCTCATTAAGCAAGATAACCTCTAATAGCAGGCAGAATAGAAATAGAATCCGACCAGTCCAAAGGTGTACGTCAGTACTCAAACTATGAGCTAAGCTAAGGACGCAAGATTGTGGGCTACTTCATTCCCGGTAAGGGTATAAAGCAATGAGTATATAATTTGAACATTCCCGTAGGTGGCGCCCATGAACCAACTTGGGGCCAAAAAAGGATCTGTAGTGAATATTGCAAGCATTCTACCGCTAATGAAACTATTACAGCACATTTACAAAGAATTTATCTTTTCTATGGCATTTTCTCATATAAATTTGAGAAAATAAATTTGTTAGCTCTTATCCAAGAAGCAGAATAAAGGACCAATAAAGTAGCTAGGATCATTCATCTATGTCCATATCAAGCAATAACATCTGTCTTTGCCCAGATATTGTCACTTAAAAGTGGAATATTGCGATGCCAACTGTTTCAGTTAGTCACAACCTGCAAGAGAACGTTAACCACTTTCCAAATCCATTATTGCTTATTAAAAGGTACCTTCAAAGCAAGTTACGCGTAAATGCAACAGTCTGAGGCCCACACCATTTTAGATAGGCCCTTCTGTCTCCTTTGTGTCAGCGAGGCATTCTAATGGTCGAAATAAACTTTCCAGAGGTTGATCAATGTGATTTGTGAAATTACCTTTTCATTTTTACTAATAAAACTTGCTACCCCAGAAATTTCAAAAACCCTGAGAATTGTTCATATTGCATTCAAGAAAAACCTCATATAAGTTGTAAGTATGTTCTGCAGGGACATATTTGTGAATTGCCTCTTGACTTCTTATCATATCTCAGTGCCCCACATTTCTGGTCGGTTGATACCTTTGTTGGTCCTAGATAATAGGATTAAATTGTGACTCAACCAAGAAATATCAAAATACACAAAGTAAATGCAGAAAAGTAAAGATAACACGAGGAATTTTTAGCCTAAGGCCCCGGAGGTTCGGCGACCACTTCTAACGCCTAATCCTCCGTTGAGCATCTGTTAGGATATAACTCGAATCCACTAAAAATAGCCCTTAAACAGGCAAGTAGAGTTACAGAACAATAAGAATGTTCGAACTTAAGATACAACTTGAAAACCCTCAAAATTACAGAATAATCTCACTAAGAGATCCACCAACACTCTCTCTATCTATTGTATGAGAATCACTCAAAGAATCTCACAATATTTACAGATCAAAGTTAGGCCAGAACATAGTCGAGAGAAACACGAAGACTTTCAGAAGAGTGAACAAATCGATCATCTCAAGAGTCAGCCTTGCTATTTATATGAAATAGCTAATAGTCTTAATCCAACGGTCAGCAATAGTCCAAGTGTCAACCATCCATCAAAAGCGTGTTTTGGTAAATCAAAACACAAGTTCTGGAGTATTCCATTAGCCGAGCTAGACCGGGTAAACGAATTGGTAAATAAGCTGGGCTCACTTATCTTTACATGGGTTCAAGAATTCAGCACACAAAACTTACAATCTCCACCTTGCTGAATTTGGAACCACTTCTAAATGGATTCAAGTATACCTCAACTTTATTTGCTCTTATTACCTGTAAAAAGAAAAACACACAGTTAGAAGGCTTCAAGATTCAACAATCTTAAAGCATAAAAATTTTTTCCAATAGGGATTACCTTTGTGCTGCATCTGCAGGATTTATTTTGGTAGGGATTTTAACCAATTTTATATCACCATTTTCAACTATGTCTCTAATGAAATGAAACTTAACATCTACGTGTTTAGTCGTATCATGAAAAACATGATTTCTACTTAAGAAAATAGCACTTTGGTTATCACAACATAGCTCTACCTGATTTTCTACATGTTGCAATTCTTTTAATAAACCCATCAGCTATATACCTTCTTCACTGCCTCAGTGGCAGCAATGTATTCAGTCTCAGTAGAGGATAATGCCACAAGTTTCTGAAGTTATGACTTCCAACTAATGCAAGTATTATTTATCACATAAAAATATGCAGTGGTGGATTTTCTATTATCAGTATTCCCAGCGAAGTCTGAGTCTACATAGCCTTTCAATTTAAGGCCAGTTTTATCAGTTTTAAACATCAGCCCTAAGTTATGAGTTCCTTTTAAATATCTGATCAAGTTTTTCATAGCTTCCCAATGAAGCTCACCTGGATTACTCATAAATCTTTTTAGAACACTCACAACATAAGCAATATTAGGCCTAGAACATACCATGACATGCATGACAGATCCAACAGCATTGGCATAATGTACATTTAACATCCTTTTCCTTTCATCTTCAGTTTTTGGTGAATGATCAATAGATAATTTCACATTTCCAGACACAGGTAAATTGACGGGTTTTGCATCATGTAAAGAAAATCTTTTGACTACTTTTTCAATGTAAGCATTTTGAGTTAAAAACACTATCCCACTAAGTCTATCCCTTTTTATTTCCATACCAAGTA